TCCTGGAGCCCAGAGCAGGATGTGCCATGGCCAAGGGTGGATCAGCAGGGTGTGCAGCCCCTGGGGAGCTCCCAGGCTGGGCATGACCCGGCTGTTTTCTTGCCTGACGGATTGCAAGAGCTGCACATTGGGAAATTCAAGGGCAGCGTGGTTTGCCAGCATCACTTCTCCCTGCCCTCCACCAAATCGGCCCCACTGGGGTATCTCTCCATGCCTGAGATCCAGCAGGGGCCTGCCGGGGATGGCTGGACCCGGGGAGGACAGTGGAGCCCGGGGGGATGGATCCTGTGCTTTGGAGCACGTCCGGAGCTGCTCCGGCCACTGTCCGGGATGAGTGGTCAGTTCCCACCAAGGATCTGCGTCCATGGAGGGGCTGGAGAACCAGGAGTGGCTGAGGGAGCTGGGAAAGGGGCTCAGCCTGGAGAAAAGGGGGATCAGGGGGGACCTTGTGGCTCTGCACAACTCCCTGACAGGAGGGGACAGCCGGGGGGTCGGGCTCTGCTCCAGGGTACAGGGACAGGAGGAGAGAGAACGGCCTCAGGCTGGGCCAGGGCAGGTTTAGATCGGATATCGGGAAAATTCCTTTGCAGAAGGGGTGGTCAGGCATTGGAAGAGGCTGCCCAGGGCAGTGGTGGAGTCCCCATCCCTGCAGGGATTTAGCAGAGGTGTGGATGTATGACCTTGGGGGTCAGTGCTGGCCTTGGCAGTGCTGGGGGAACAGCTGGATTCCATGGCCTTGGAGGGCTTTTCCAACCTAAACAATTCCATGGGGCAGTGACATCCAGCCCCCAGAGGTGCTCACCAGAGGCAGCTGCAGAGCCCCAATTCCTTTTTTACCCACCAGAGCCTCTGGCCTCCCCTTGTGGGGGTCACCAACCCCACTCTCATGGGGTGTCCAACCCCATCCACGGCACGGGGCATCAGGACAGGGGCGTTTTCCCATTGCCAGGCGGGGCTCAGGCTCCATCAGGCACCTTCCCCGCTGCGTTTTGCTGTGTGAGACAAATCTACAGGGAAAAGCTGTGGTCAGTGGCCAGGACAGCTGCTCYGTTGTTATGACAGAGGCAGCGTCACGGCGGCTGCAGAATAAACGGAGAGACGGGGCCGGCCGGGAGCGGGTCAGGACTCAGGAATTAGGTCAGTGGCACGGCCAGCTCCCGGGGAGGATGGGACAGCAGCGGAGATCTTGGTTTGCTTGAGGTTTTCTCCTGGTAAGGCTGAAACTTCCGTCTCTCGAGGTAGAACTTTGGCTGACTCTGACGGGGAATAAAGGGTCTCTTCATGCCATGTCCCGACCCCAGAGCCGGCAAATTTGGGGATAGAAGTGGAAAAAAAAGAGTTGGAAAACAAGGATGCTCCTTTTGCCATCTCAAAGCCAGCGATACCCACCTGTCCCGGGGCAGGGTTGGGAAATTGGGAAGCTGACAGCCAAAATTTGGGTTTTTTTACCTTAGCAGCGCTGATTTTCACGCTGCCCAAGGCAGGGTCAGCAAATCCCGGGGGTCCCGACCCGGGGRTCGAGCGGCGGGAGGGCTCGGGCTCGGCGGGAGGAAGCAGCACCCGGGAAGCCGCTTCCCACRGGCTCCGGGCACCCTCTCGTGGTGACGGTGCCCGGCGGGACCTGGGGGCCGGGGTGGCACCGAGAGGGGCTCGGCTCCTTGGGGTCACACCCAGGGACCCGCCARCCCTCCCGGGGGAGCCATCCAGGGAATTGGGATTTATTTTTCCAGCCTCAGGCCAGGCCGGGGTGGGCTCCACTCTTTCCCACGGGGTCCCCCTGCTCTCCCCACCCGGGAAAGCGATAATGTGGACAGAACACTCGAAGCTGGTTTCTACCCCGGCTGGATCAACCTGCCCTTCTCCTTTCTGACGCGTTTCCCCCTGAGAGGAGCTTGCAAAATAAATCAGGGCTTTGCATAAACAAAGCCCAGAGAGGTGTTGGTGAAAAAAAAAACAGCGCTCAGGAGCTTCACAAGCGCAGCTTTTTTTTTTTTTTTAAAAAAAAAACAAACAAGCAAACACAGAAGTATTTTTTTTCTCTTTCAAAACCCACAGCCCAGGCAAGAATTTCTCCATCCGCCCACCCAGTTTCCCCCTCCCACCACCTGCGAGCCAAATCTCAGCTGCTGAAAGGAGCCTCCCCTTCCTCTCGCCCCTTCAGGGAGCCTTTGAATGAAAATCCAGTCGCTTTCCCCGCTGAAGGGACACTCGTKGCCGTTTCCTTGACCAGCCACGTCCCGCAGCCTGGTCCAGGAGCACAGCGGCGGCTCGGGGCGCTGAGTGTCCCCCCAGAGCTCTGTCACAGCCCCCTGTCCCCTGTCCCCACCTGCTCCCTGCGCGCTGCCTTCGCTTCCTGCGGCTTTAAAGTTCCCTCGGTGCGCGCAGCGAAAGAGGGAGGAGAGAAAGCGTTTCATCATCGCTCCCGGGAGCCGACTTATAAAAAGTTGGCGCTGCCGCTGCCCGGCTCACTCGCAGGCTCGCAGGGATTGCGGCGCGGTCCGCACGGGCTGCGGGCGTTGGGCCGGGCCGGACAGCAACGGGAGCCCACGCGCGGCCCAACGATTGCGCCGGGCTCCCCGGGAAGCCCTCGCCATGGGAATCAACCCTGAAGTCAGCAAATCCGCGATTGACATCCCCGAGAGCTCCGGCACCTGCCCGCGGAGTGTCTTCTGCAACATCAAGGTGAGGATGGGAGCGGGGAGCGGGGCGGGGATGCCCGCGGGAGGGAGGGGGGTTCCGGCCCGGAGAGGGACCCCGGCCCACCCCGCACATCCCCGCGCCCCCCGCACACCCCGCGGGGCAAATAAAGGGTGTTGGGTGATGCAGAATGGGAACATCAGCTCGTGGGGCAGTGCTGGGTAAGCCCTCCCCGATCTGTACTCGGGGGGCTCGCAGCGATGCCCTGCGCGGCACTCGGGTGTTTCACTCCGTGAGCCTCCCCACGGCGTCTGGTACACGGTGTGCTGCTGCTGGGGAATGATTAACCACATCCTGGTGCGAAAAGAAAACCCTGCCCTAGAATAACACGGGCTTGCGTTAAAAACTTGCGTGAGCGRAGCTTTTGGAGCGGCCCGAACAAAGGCTCGGGCGGTTGCGGTGGTTTTTGCGGTGCTGGCTGCCCCGGTGCCTCACCTGCCGGAGCTCCAGGCTCCCGARCTCGCTGTCTGTGCGAGAACGCCCCGCTCACCACCCGTGGGTCACGTTCCACGCCCTGCCGGCCGTCCCGGCTTTACACCACCCTTCTCCCTGACTTTTTTCCCCCGTTTTTTTGGCCCAGTTTTGGATGTGCTGCACGTGCTGGTTCCTATCCTGGGAACATCCGCCTGCAAGTCCCCGGCAGGGAGGGATTTTCGTCCCTCTCTTGGCAGCACCTCCGCCCACCGGCCGCTGGAGCAGCCAGGTGCAGTTTTTGGGAACGGCAGCTCTGGGGATGTGCGAGGGGACCCCCGGCTGCGGCGGGCAGGACCCCCGGCTGCGATTTCCCACTGCCGTTCCTGGATCCAGCCGTGTGTGCTGTGTTTTGTCAGCGCTTCCCAGCCCGCGGTTTTCGGGATGTGTGGCCGTCGGGATGGGTTTGGGGTTTGTTTCTTGCCATCAAGCTTCCCTCACCCTGCATGAAGGACTGTGCTGGAGTGCTGTGGGGATGCTATGGGGTTCTGTGGGAATGCTGTAGGATGCCGTGGGGCTGTGGGAATGCTGTGGGGTGCTGTGGGAATGCTATGGGAATGCTGTGGGGTGCTGTGGGGTTCTGTGGGAATGCTGTAGAGTGCCGTGGGGCTGTCCCCAAGCGGCTGCTCCTCCTCCTGGGAGCCTCCCAGGTGATGTCCCCAGTCCTACGCCCCTGCAGGTCCCCACTGCCCGCACTGGGCTGTTCCAGCCGGTGACTTGGTGGCACTTTTTGGCTGCGGGCTCCAGGGCAAAGAGCTTGTGATTCCCCTGAGTGATTTGGGGCTGCCTCTGTCCCTGCTGACCTGTCCCCTGCTCCGGTGGAGGTGCAAAATGTGTCCCCAGCCCCCTCTGGGCTGCTGCAGGAATGACCATGGCTTAGAGTGAGTAAAATCACCCAAAACCRGAGCACTCCTTGCAGTTCGTGCTCTTTCCTGGAAATTGGCAYTGCTCCCTTCAGCTGGCAGCACGCAAAAACTGCCTGGAGTGAAAAAATATTGCCAAACCCTTTTGAAGGGTGTCAGGCTCCTGGAATAAAACTCAAAAGCCCCAACAAATAAATGCAATTCCATTTGTGCACCCCTTAGGCAGTTGCAGGGTGTGTGATGTGGGTGCTCAGCACTCCACACTCCTCAGGTGCTCAGATGGGACCTTTTAGGGGCATTTGGCCAAGGGCAGGTGACTCCGGGGTGTCACTTTGCTGGTGGCAGGAAAACCATTGCCTGAAGAAAAGCTTTAAAACTGCTTTTTAAACTTTTTCTTTTAACAGTTCTGGTTTAAAATAGTTTCTGGTTTAAAAAGCCAACGRCCTGGTGTGGAGGAGCGGTTTGAGYTCCATGCAAACATGCTCCATRTGGGATGGTGGGCAGCCAGGACACCCATCCCTCGCAGAAATATTCTCATTTTTAAGAGCAAATGTATAAATTGACAGGCAGCAAGATCCCCCACCCTTTCCTGACCTCTTCACTCTTCCTGTGCTGTGACATTAAAAATACATACATTAACAAAAGAACTGCTTCAGGGTCAGAAAACATTAACCTGTGTGCACTGCCAGTCCCCTCAGCCCCCCAAAATGAGTAGGACATCGAAGTGTCACAGAGGAGTTTCCAGGTATGGGGAGTCTTGGTGTGAATGGTCATCAGTGGGCACAGCGTGGTCAGCATCTGGGTTTGAGGGGTTGGTGGCTCTTGTTTGTACAAGAAGCCACTGGTGTTGTGAATGATGGATCATAAAAAAGCCTCATCTGGCCCCAAATTGTGTAGGACGCTGAGGGCATCACCCCCACACCCAGAGCCAGGTGCTGTGAAGGGATTTAAAACATAAAAAGTCAGATAAAAAGGTCAGGCATAACATCCTCGAACGGGCAGTGGCAGTTCCTGCTGGGGACAGTATTTCCAACACAAAACAACAAAATTCCCCACTTTTAACAGCCTTGGAATTACGTGATTAAGACTTGGAAGCCTCAATCACGAAGCTCCTATTTAATCCCCAAAGCCCACGTGCCAGGATCATGTTCAGGGTGTGTTTTGCAGGTCTCAGGCCAAAATAACCAATTTATTCTCCATATAAATCATTTTGCCCCTCCATGYTCCCTGTGGCAGGGACCACCACCCCCTGCACTGCATCCCATCGCTCTCGGGGTGTTTCCCAGCACTGGACCCGTTGCCACTGACATTTGGAGTTGGGAGACAGCAGGGGTGGGCATCGGGGAGGGAAAGGGGCGCTTGGAGGGATTCTGTGGGGTTTGGAGAGCGGGATGGGGATGGGGATCACTGCTCGGGGTGCGGGAGCGCTGCAGCTGCGCTTGGGGAGGCGATTCCCCGCGGGTGGCTCCGGGGGCTCGGATCCGCKCGGGTCCAGCCTTCCTGTCCTGTGACAGCTCCGTGTGGCTCCGGGAGTCACCCCGGTCGGTCACAGTGGTCCCCGCAGGACGGCGGCGGTGGCCCCGCACGGGCTCGGGCCGTGCCGATAGCGCCGGGCTCCGCCGGGCGCGGCCGCGGTGTTTGCTCCCGCCGTGTCTCACACCAGGAGAGAGCTCAGCCGCTGCTGAGCTGCTCCCACCCTGAGCCACCTGGAAGGGACAAAGCACAACAGGAAAAACCTTCAGGGTTTGGGGCTGGGAGGTGTTGGGGCTGCTGAGCTCTGGCCGCGTCCAGARAGCTGGAGCATCCCGGTAATCCCACAGCGATGGTGGAGATGGGGGTGATGATGAGATACTGAGATGGGAAACTGGGGAGAAATCCTTCCCTGTGAGGATGGGGAGGCCCTGGCACAGGGTGCCCAGAGAAGCTGTGGCTGCCCCTGGATCCCTGGCAGTGCCCAAGGCCAGGCTGGACATTGGGCTGGGAGCAGCCTGGGACAGTGGAAGGTGTCCTTGCCCGTGGCAGGGGGTGCGTTGGGATGGCTTTTAAGGTCTCTTCCCGCCCAGACCATCCCAGGGCTCTGTGATTTCTGTGACATCCCCTAGCTTGGACACTCCCCAGAGCTCCCAGGGTTGTGCTGGCTGGCACTGGGATCTGGAGTATTCCAGCTGTGCTGCTCCACAAACACAGGAGGAACCCGACCTTCAGGGGATGCCAGCCCCTGGTGGCACTGGGGACACCGAGAACCCCACAGCCTGAAGGATTAAATCAGGTTTGAAAGGTGGAGGAGATGGCTGGTCCTTGTGACACCCACACCTGGCCAGGGACCCCACCCATGCCCCCCAGTCCAGGGTCCCAACCGTGTGATTTAGGCTCACATTGATGGCCTTGGAGGTCTTTTCCYAACCTTAACAAYGCTGTGATTACATGCTCATCTTCCGCTCCCAGACAACCACTGGAACAGGATTATTTCACAGGAATTCTCTGTTTACAGAGTCTCAGATAGTTTGGCTTCTTCGCCCTCGCTGTCTCATTCGTGGTTTTGAGCTATTTTAATGGATTTTGGGATCCCCAGAAAGATGACAAGGAGGAGAGCTTTATAAATATCTTTTGATTTAGAGGAGCTGGACCGGTTTCAGCTGGAAGCTGCAGAGCACAGAGCCGCAGTGTGAAAGTGTTGCGAGCCCAGGCTGGGGGAGGCTTTTTTTTTCCTTGCTTGACGACCGCTTGGAATGGAAAAGGAAACAGGAGGGCAACAGAGAATTATCCTCACTTATGTCAGCCAGAGGGAAAGATTTAAAAGCCTTAGGAGAGGTTTAAAGTGGGTGTTGCTCTGGGGCAGGGAGAGGGAGGGAATGAAAGAGGGTGGGAGAGGAGACAGCAAGGTCAGGAGGGGCTCTCAGAGCAGGATAAGGCTTGGAAGCATCCCGGGGTGAAGGTGCTGGAGCATTCAGGGATCTGTGGACCCCTGGGGCAGGGAGCTCTCCCCTCCCTGCAGAGGAAACAGGAGCCTGGCCTCGGGGTCTGAGCTCCCAGCAGCAGCACAGCAAGGTTGTTGTCCCTTCCTTCGAAGGGACGGCAGGAATTTGCTGAGGAGTGTATTCCAGAAGCCTGGAGATGTCCCAGTTGTGCTCTCACATCCTGTTGGAAAAGATTATGGGTTGCTTTGTTTTGCCAGAACAGGAGATGCATCAAGTCACGGGTCTGGAGCGAAAACACCAAGGGGAGAAAGTCACTGCTGGTTGGAGGCACTGATTTAGGCAAGAAAGTCAAAGTAATATTCCAGTCCTGGGAATGGCTTGTGCAGGGAGAAGGATGAGTTGGATGAGAGTTTGTGGCAAAGAAACAGGAGGGTCCTTGTGGGGTGACACGGGGAGAAGGATCTGTGGTTACTGGGGTCTTCCAGCACTCCTGGTGGTGGTTGGGCTGGGTTTGGATGGTCCAGCACTGTGTTTATGCCTGCTTTTAGTGGGATCAGAAGGGAAGAACCCCCTGATCTTCACCAGCAACACCAGCAGTGGGATCAGGAAAAAAGATGGGGAAGAGCCWGCATTGAAACAGGTTGGAAAGTTTAGTGGGATCAAGGTCTAGGAGACCTGAGACAAGGTAATTTTATGAGGGGCGAGGTGGTTGGGTGCCCAAACACAAGCAAGG